CGTGAACAAAATAATAGTTATTTCGTTTTTCAAACCTGCACCATTTTCTTAAATGAGTAAGTTCGTAGTTGGTCACGTGACCAAAATGTGATTTTTGAAATTATGAATTAACTCTTTCTGAACACAAATTTTGCTCTTAAACTTCAAGGAGAATATTGAAAAGTTGTTGTGGGAACGTTTACAGCACATCTGAGCGTAACTATCAAACGTTTAACAAGATCTAAGCAAAAAGAAGTTTTGGCCGCCATGTTGGAGGGCAAGAGTATGCCCTCCAACATGGCGGCCAATACAAATGATACTACTTTGTTGAAAAATCAAAGTGCCATAAAATATCTCCCTTAAATGCGTTCCCCCTCAAATTTCGGGTGTAAGATAATTTTTATATGCTCTGTCAATTTTTGGCATCAGCAAGATTCCAACTCATTGTTTAAAGGAAGCATTGGTCACGTGTCCTCTAAGTGCAAGTGGCCTATTTGAGCGTTGGATGTTTTTATTTCGATCAGAAATATCAAGCCTCTCTAATCCTTTTGAAACTTAACAAACATTTTGCGCTTTCTTGATCAAGGTTTTTTGTTGTCAGAGGTATCTTGCCTGATTTGAATTCGCCTAATAGTAGTTTCTTCAAGGAAAAAAGGGAATAGTAGGACGAAATATGGTCATCTGGTTTGTCGCTTCTCTCTGGCAATGGCGTCCATAAGTTGACAGGAACATCAAATTGTGAATAATAGAGCAGTTGCAGGTAAACATAAAAACTTTAATCTAACTGATAATATATAATAATGGATACTACCTCGAAAAGCGAAAATTAGTTAGCATTAACTTCGCATGACGATTTTCACTCATTTAAGGTGCTAACACAAAGAAGGGTACGTAAAATGCGAGGGTTAATAGGACGTAGTTTATTCAGTGTGGGGTCGATTTAGGGTCGATGGGAGGTCGATGAATTTGTGGATGGAAAAATATATAGAATAAATTAGGAGGTGGAGGTGAAGGAGGGGAATAAAAAACATTGAGGAGGGAAAATAATAAAAATTGTAGAGGAGGGAATAAAAACATTGAGGAGGGAAAATAATAAATTTGTGGAGGAGGGAATAAAAACATTGAGGAGGGGAATAAAATTGAAAAGGGAGTGGGGTAAGTACAACATTGTGCGCAGTGTAAAAAAAGGATGGATTGCCTTCTTTGACTATTTTAATAGAATCTTTAATCTAATCAAGGGTCATAAAGTTGATTTCTTGTGTCTTAAGAAACGTGTCTAGTTTTATTGCTAGCAAGTATTAGTCGCGTGTTTCAATTGATCCTTGTTAAGTTATTAATTGTCTTTTTTGTGTGTGTTTTTATAATAATAAGTCAAGATGCTTCCTTGGGGTTTTTACTGCACAGGTAATTTGTATGCAACGGTGGGCTTGTGAACTCCCATAATTACCTGACTAACGGCGCGTAAAACACTGAGTGAGACTTCAATAATTTTTCATTTCCTCGAGATAGATAGGAGAAAACGCGGTTCTGTAATAGTCAGACAAAATTGAAATAGAGACTTTTTCGCTCCACTTTGTGTATATATGTGTTTGCTTTGTTTATATATCCGAGTCTTAGCGCTAAATAAGAAGACATAAACTAAATTGAAATAAAGACTTTTCAACTCCACTTTGTGTATGTGTTTTGTTTATATATCTGCGTTTTAGCGCTAAATAAGATACAGGAAGCCGTTTGTTGCGTTGTTAGGTGATTGCTCCTCTTATCCCTATTTTCCTTTAAATGGACGTTCCGTAAACCTGGCTCAAGTTACTTCACGGGCAAGTCGAGGCAAGCCTGTTGTGTTCTTTCAAAAAACGACTATCCAGTTCATTATATTTGGAGGAAGGCACTAAATTAGTATGCAGGAAATCCAAATTAATATGCGGGAAGTCCAAGGGAAGTCCAAAAAGAGGCTTAATTTCCAAAATAGCATACTACTAATGTTCGTAATTGCTCATCTACAGCTTGTTGTTTGCATGCATAATAAAAGCGTTAATCTTCAATATTGCTATCACGTCAGTGAGCTGTCTGGTTTTCATATTTTATGTCAACACACACAATTGTTAGTCACAACATTTATACCGACGAAGACTGGTAAGTGATGAGGATCTCTTTTTAGTTAGTTTTTGTTTTTTAAGACAAGATCGTGACACACAGTAGGTTCATAACAGGACTAATGTAAAAAAGCCTTGCTACAGCAATTAGGATTGAGTGACAAGTGAATGTTTTAACCTACAAAAGCACTATGTTTCCCAACTAATTCCACTGTCAACTAGTACTTTAATATTCAAAAACATTGATGACTTGCTACGTTAAGCAACGACGACGGAGACGGCAACGGGAACAGAGCAAATTAGCGAAACACCATGTTTGCACGTGAATCACACTTTTTTGCAGCGGAACCTCCATATGATTGTTGCAGAAACTTGAAGCCTATCCATGCGAAAAAAATTGGTTCTGAGCTACCCGTACAGACTCTGGGGAGAGGAAAAGGAGTCCCAGACATGCAGCTTTCGTTCGTCGTCGCGAAAACTTCACCAGTTTAGGGTCAACCGTTACATCGAGTCTTGTCCTTGCTCATACTCGAGGAACAATCTATAGTCAGACCGGTCAAAATTTTGGCAGGTGAATTCAAAATAACAGCATCTTGAGATTTGCATACTGTATTTATTTTTTCGTGTTCTTCTACTGCCGCATCAAAATGAAATACAGCCAGGTGACAATAAAAACCTTATGCAGCATCTTGAAATTTGCGTACTGACAACTAAAATTTTCATTAGAAACATCATGCCTCTCTAACCGTTTTCAAACTCTCTAAACGTTTTGTACCCATTTGATCAGCTTTCTTTTCTTGTTAGGGTTAACTTATCTGATTTGAATGCTGCACCAGTTAAAGTGGTTTCTTTAAAGAAAACAGGAAATAGTAGGGCAGAATATAGTCATTCTTTTTTTCTCTGGTAATCGCGTAATAGGACTTAAATTATTCAAAAAGTCATACCAGTTACTCTTTTAAAAATTTATGAGCAAGGGAAATAATTTCTTATAAGAAAGGAACTAGTGGACAGTCCTCTGAGGATAAAAAGTCCAAACCCTCAGTCACTTACTGAGGATTTTAAGGGAATTAGTTGTTTTTAAAGCAGATCGTCTCTCACACAGAGGCATCAAGTTAAGATATGAGACGTCACGAAAAATGCCCCTTTTGTAGCTCAAAGTGATTCAGCTTTATGAATGGATGAGATGACGTATAATTTGCTTGTTCATTTTTGAAAGTTTCGTCTAAGAAACCATATGCAAACGACAATAGGTTAAACTTAAGTACACACAATAGTCTGGTGATCACAATTAAAGTATTCATTGGTCTAAGAAATCCATCCTTAATTTTATTTGAAAAATAATCCGTACTGCCAGTCTGTTGCTTTCTCTTCATATTTTTTAGCTGCTGTAAGCGGCCGTTTTTGACCTCATTTAAGCGTAGCAACATTGACTCAACTTTTTGTAAGTTGAATAAAGTGCTTTAGCAAATAAAGTTACGAAACATCCAAGACGTAAACGGTACAATATTTAATATTGAGAGCTCCTGCATATAACATTATAAATGAAATATTTTGTTGTAACTATAAATCAATATTTAAGGAAAATATATCCGGAGTTAGTTATTTTTCGCCTTTCCCTTCTATTCTTATGAAGGCTATCACATTATTTTTGCTTGCATCCCAGTGATTTCGGCTTCCGGTCCGAGGCAAAGGATTAACAGTACCAAAACTAGACAGATATCGCCGAGTTCACAGACTCATATTCGCTTTTATTTAAAATAGAAATGTTTAATAATAAAAAGTGATTGAAAAGTTCTCCTGAGTGTGAGCATCAGTCACATGATTAATAAACTCACACTTTGTATTCATTTCTCTCGGTTCAGCAGCGAATTTGTTCACCCAACGTTTTCCCATCACATCCCGGTAGCCGCAAATAGTGTTTCGTTTTACTGTTCCCACGCTTTTACTGCGGCAGGGGATATTTTCATGTGATACGCCACAGGGGCGGTGTCAGGTCATCTCCTTTTTTAAAAATTTCACAAAATCCAGAGCTAGACTTTAAGCGAAAAGTCTTAATGTCTAGTTAGACGTGGATATGCCCAGACTGTCAATCGACATTATTTCACTCGATTGCTAGAAATGCAACTTCATCGAGACTGCCGGACACAAACAGTATACAAAGTATTAGCCCCGGGAACCTTAGGAGAGCTTGCTCCACGGCTAACAAAGTATATAGGACAATCCAGACATCAGCATAGCTTCCGAGCTCTTGTTCTGCAAAACAAGCTGGCACAAGAGTTCAGACAACGTCATAACAAGCTTTAATTTGTACACGCTTTCTGCATGGAGAACGAAGAAATAGTTTTCCCCCATTGTTCACTTTTGTAACTGTGGCAGAATTCACTGTCATTTAGACGGCTGTTCTTAAAAATTGTTTTCGTTCACGTAATCTGATCTAGGGATGTTTTCAGCTGTCGAGCGACGTAAGGTCCCAGAATCCTGATGAGTTTTTACATGTAAAGTGTCTTTTGCTATAATATTTTCATGATTTTTTCATTCATTCAGTCCCTTACCGTTGCACAAATGTGGCAGTGTCCACACAAAGAAAGTGAGTAACTCATTTGCACATGGCAGCCAACACTATAAATCGCAGATATCCTTCGGATAACTCCGAGTTAAAAAGGGTACTTTGAGTGCTGAATATATGTGAAGGTTTTTCAGTATACGCCAGTTTTACAATGATTTGTGGAAACGATATCGGGAACTTAAGCAAGTTACCGCTCAAAACAAGGTTGCTCGATAAATGTTTGACTGTAGTTGCATGGGAAAGAATAGTTCTTACTACTGAACGCAATTCTTTCTTGAAACTGTTCGCAAGCTTAAATCTATATTCCTTTGATTTGTTTTAGTGCAAACCACACAAGGCCGATGAAGTGGAGGGAAAACATAATGCTTTCATGCATCTTAAAACCGCCTCTCTTTATACTGCTACATTTTGTATTTCTTCCACCTAACGAAGGATATAGAAATTATAAAGAAGGCGACATTATAGTTGGTGGTCTACTCGACATCCACTATCCCGGCACTAGTGATCAATGTACTGAGCTCTCTACCGCAGATCTGGGATACGCAGAGGCTACGATCTTCACTATTGAGAAAATTAACAAGAATGCCAGTATTTTACCGAACGTGACCATCGGATACGACTTAAGAGACTACTGTGGGAGCAATGCTCGGGCCATGAAGATGGCCTATGACCTCATGTTCATGTGTAATGGCGATCCAGTACATATGTCTAACCAAAACATCAGCACCTCCCCCACCGGCTATGTCAAGGAAACCAACACCAAGACCATCTCAGCGTTAGTTGGCCCTGCCGATTCCGCAAGCGCAGTGTTAGTAGGAAGTCTGCTTCAGGTTTTTGACATTCCGGCCATCAGTCCGAGTGCAACAAGCGATGAGTTGAGTTCACAAATGTACAAAGACTTTTTCAGAACAGTTCCGCCAGACAAATGGCAAGCAGAGGTCATAGCAGACATCATAGAACTCTTTAACTGGACTTACGTGGCGGCTGTCGGGTTGGATGATTCTTATGGACAGAACGGTATTTCGGCGCTGGAAAAAGAATCCTACAACCGGAAAACATTTTGCATTGCTTTTTCTGAGTATATTCCACGTCTAGGCCATTGGAATAAAACAAAGCAAACTGTTCTCAAGATTAAAAGGAGGTCTGAAGTCGCAGTGATCATTGTTTGGCTTTCTGGCGGTCAAGGAAGAGCATTTTTTGCAGAGGCTACTGCTCAAAATCTTGAAGAAAAGACTTGGATACTTAGCGACGCACTGACAGTAAATCTTAACTCTCACTTCACAATACTAAACGGCTCCTTGGGAATAAAGCCACATGACTATTCTGTTCCCGAATTCGAAGAGCACCTTAAGACGATCACCCCTGCCAAAAGCATTGAAAGAGGCGCAGATTGGTGGGAAGAATTCTGGAGATTACAATTTAACTGTTCAGCCACAAACTCCGACCATTCTAGGGTTGCACTTTGCGAAGCAAATCTGACTTTACACCATGCGCTTCAAAAGATACGCGGTTCCTTCGTTTCTTACATAATTGACGCTGTATATGCTATTGCATATGCCCTAGACAACATTTACCGCTGTTCTCATACTATACATGATGCTGGTAAAAGAGGTAATTGTCCTCTAGTAAAGCCAACTGTAAACGGACATGATCTAAAGAAATATCTCAGAAATATTAGTTTTCAGGGCGGAACTGGCAAGGTGCGATTTGACAAGTTTGGTGATCCTTTAACAGCTTCCTACGACATCATAAACTTCCGGCTTGACTCAACCACAGACGGAGCCCGCAAAAATATCCTGGTTGGAGCATGGAACAAAAAAAACACGCCCAAACTCAAAGTAGATTTGTCCAGGCTACGATGGAGAACTCTCTTCACCCCGTTATCCTCTTGTTCATCAGAATGTTTACCTGGTACCAGAAGGGAGAAAACCGAGCCATGTTGCTGGGATTGTATTAAGTGTCCACTGGGAACTGTCAGTACCAAAGTCGGATCTATTAACTGCAGTAAGTGTGACCCAGAGACAAAGTCAAACGAAGGGCGAAGTAGGTGTGAAAAGTTACCAGTCATCAACATCACGCATTCAAATGTCTCTGGAATTACCATAACAGTGGTGGCTTCCATCGGTTTTATTCTCATATTGTTAGTTGGAGGCACCTACATCAAGTTTTTCAACACCCCAGTCGTGAAGGTTTCTAACAGAGAGATCTCTTTTCTGTTGCTATTTGGTATCTCAGCCCTCTTTATATTGGCCTTTCTCGAACTTTCTGAACCAAGCCATTCACTTTGCACCGCAACATTTTCCTGGCGCTATTTTGGTCTCAACCTTTGTATCACGGTGCTCTTTTTGAAAACTATGCGAATAGCAAGCGTTTTTGAGGTCGATAAATTGGCGAAGTTGTTTGCACCGTGTTACAAAACCCTAACAAGGCAAGGCATCTTTCTCTCTGTTATGAATTTAGCTGTCCTTTGTTTATTAGCCCTGTGGATCTTTCTTGACCCCCCGAAGCGTAACAAAATCATCCGCTTAGATGAGTACGTCTTTCTTGTGTGCAAACCATTTGACGCCAACGTCGGCCTTGCACTGTTCATCGCAGTCTGTGCTTACACGCTCATTGGGGCTTTCCTGTGTACGTATTACGCTTTCAAAGCAAGGGGAATTCCCGAGAACTTTAACGAGACAAGATACATAGGATTCTCTATGTATATTCTACTGTTGTCATCGCTGGCATATTACCCTGTGCTATTTGCTTTTGAGAGCTGGTACGTGACAATTGTGTCTTGTACTACGACTTTAGTAACTTCGTTTGGTTTGTTGGGATGCATGTTCGGACCCAGAATCTACATTCTCTTTTTCCATTCCCAGCAAAACACCATCGAAAGAGTCAGGTCGCAGGTGACGAATTTCTCCTTTCGTAATGTAACGGTAACCAGAGTTTTGCCTGGACAAATTAATGAAGGAGTACCTAACGCTGCACTGAATACCGAAAATTAAAAACGCTGGATTGCAGTTCCCCACCAGCCATTCTTTTGACCAGTAACATGGAAAAATACTTTAAACTTCTCAATCTGTACCTCCCTTAATCATGAAATACACTAGACTTCTTTACCTTGTATGTTTTGTCTTCCTGTACTCGAAAATGACAGCGTACAGAAAGTCACATAGCTGTGAGACGACCTTTCGTGGACTGATAGAGGACTGGAAACTGGCTGTCGACTCAAAACAACCCGTTTATGTTCTATCTACTGATATGAGTATTAGGCCTTCGACTGTTTGAGTCACTCTCTGACAGTAAAGAAGTTGGAGGCTTATGGCTTTGGAAGTGGATCTCCCGACTTGATGCGACTGTTTTTGGAAAACAGACGAAACAGGGTAAGACTGGGTAAAATTACAAGCATTTGGAAACCTATGAAACGTAGATGTCTGCGAGGATCATCTTTGGGCCCTTAATATGGAACATGTTCCAGAATGATTTACCGTTGCATGTCGAGAATGGAAACATAACCATGTACGCGGATGACCATCAATTGCATGTGAAGGGAAGAAATCACGAAATAGTTAGACAGCAACTGAAAACAAGCAGCAAGCAAGCTCTGATATGGTATTCAACTAACCTTTTATCAGCTAACCCAGAGAAGTATCAGTTCCTAAATATCAACCCAAGAAAAATTGATGGAGATACGAGTGATGCAGTGCTAAGCCTGGATGGCCTACCCATTGACAAATCAGAGGACATTAAACTACTAGGAGTCCACATCGACGACGACCTTGATTAAAAGAAGCATATAAGTGAGCTGTAAAATAAGACTAGCCAAAAAGTCGGGATACTATCGCGTTTAAGACATTTAATACCATCAAAGGCTAAGCTGTTGCTGTATGAAGCTTTTAGTTTGCCTCACCTTACATATTGCCACCCAATATGGCATTTTTGTAAGTCGTCAGACAAAAGGAAGGTGGAACGAATACCAAGAACGGGCATTGAGTCGAGCCATGTATAGATCCCACTCGCATACGTATGAAGAACTCATAGAGAGGGCTAACCTTCCCAAGTTGTATAACAGACTTCAAGACATCGTAGTACTGATGTATAAAGTCAAGTATGGCTCGATCAGATATATAGGTCCCTTCTTATGGTCTTAACTAAACAAAGACTACGAGAAGCTTCTAGCTAGCTTAGCCAGTTTTTGGAACAAAATTAGAAAACTGAATTTTTCGGGGTATATTTCCAATTGGCGTTTATTTGTTACATGCAGTTCCTGGATGACAAAAGGAAGCGTTCGTTGCACACCAAAAATGAAACGTTCGGTTAATTATGTCAAGAAAAGGGGAATAAGTCCTTATCAGTCCAATGTGGCATTCCTTACGAAAGACATGATGAAGCAGGCTTTGAGTCCGTATGAATAATGAGTAAACTAAAGTAACGTATTTTACTGTGGTTTAACTTCATTTTAGATTATTTCCGGCAGGAAACAAGTGCATTTTGAAAACAGGAACACCAACATGATTTATATTTTATATCTGGCGTCAATATTGATCTCATAATTCTGCAGGATGGTGTAGATTGGGGCAAGATGGTGTAGAATGGTACAGAATGGTGCAGGATAGTGTAGATTGCTGCAGGATGATACAGTATGAAGTAGGGTGTTGCCGATTGGATCAGGATAGTTCAGGATGGTGCAAGTTAGTGAAGGTTGATGCAGGTTGGTGAAAGTTGGTGCACGATGGTGCAGTCTGGTGCAGTAGGGTGCAGGATACTGCAAGTTAGTGTTGGTTGGTGGAGGTTGGTGAAGGTTTGTGCCAGTTGGTGCAGATTAAAGCAGGATGGTGCAGGTCGCTGCATTTTTCTGCAGGTCAGTTCAGGATGGCGCAGATTGTTGCAGGATGGTGCATGATGTTGCAGGTTGGTTCAGGATAGTGTAGGATGGTGCAGGGTGGTGAAGTTGATAAAAGTTGGTGCAGCATGGTGCAGGATGGAGCCGTTTGGTGCGGGATGGTGCAGACTGGCACAGAATGGTGCAAGCTTGTACAGAATGATACAAGTTGGTGCAGGATGATGCAGATTGGTGCAGAATGGAGCAGGACTGTAAGGGATGGTAAAAGTTAGTACAGGATGGTGCAGATTGGTGCATGTTGGTTCAGGATGTTGAACGAAGGTGCAAGTTAGTACATGTTGGTCAAGGTTGGGGCAGGATAGTGCACGTTGGTGCAGACTACCGCAAGATGATGCAGGTTTGTGCAGGTATGAGCAGGATGGAGCATATTGGAGCAGGATGGTACAGGATTGTGTACGATTGTGCAGACTAGTGCAAAATTGTGCAAGCTAGTACAGGTTGTTGAAGGTTGGTGCAGGATGCTGCAGACAGGTGTAGGATGCTGCAGTTTGGAGCCAATTACTTCAGTATGCTGCACGTAGTTTCAGGTTAGTGCAGGATGGTGCAGATAAATATGAGATGTTGTTGTTGTTACATACATAGAAATACACATTATCTTCGTCCGTCATTTTGAATTTCTTTTAAAAACCGTGATCTGCCCCAGAGGGGGGAATCTGGCTCCTTTTTCACAAGAAATTCATGACTTGTCTACTAAAAATTGTGAAACATGGAAGCAAGGCAAATTTAAACGCTAAAAGCAGCTCCGATAGCTCAGAATTGGCAAAGAACAAGAAATTGCTCGGAATGCAAAAATTTGCTCCAAACGAAAAAAATTGGTGCAGGTTGGTGAAGTTTGTACACAACACTACAGCAGCTACAAATGTACGCAATGCAACTGCACCAAACTAAACCAACTACAGAAACTCTACCAACAACACCAACTACAGCAATTACACCACATTACAGCAACTACACTAACTACAGAAACTACATTAAACTACACCAACTACACCTAACAACACCATTTACACTTAACTACAACGACTACACCAAACTAGACCAATTAAAGAAAACTACACCAAATACAGAAATTACAGCAACTACTTCAACTACAACAAACTACACCAACAACAGGAATTATATCAACCACATCAAACTACACCAACTACAGCAACCACAAAAACTACAAAAAACTATAGTAACTACACCTATCTACATCAACTACCTTGACAGAAACTACCTGGACATGAATTCTTCTATATTCGTAACGGTTATCATAGATCATCGCCTGTTTAACGTTTCTGTTATTCTTCAATTGTATCGATCTACTCCTGGTGGTTTGGAACCCACATCGCGGCAGGATGCTCTAAATTTGGTATAACAATAGTAACAAATTTTAGGTTTAGCGTTTTATGTGTAGGGTATATATTACGTCTCACAAATCCGAATGGCTTATTTACTTTGTAACATTTATACTGACATGGGAGTTCCACTACCGGTCATTTGATGACATAACTTCCAGATAGGCCTGATAAGCTGCAGGTATTTGGGATTTGTGAAGGCGAACAACACCGGATGACTGTTTATATTACTGATCGCAACCAGCTATTTTCCTAGGAGGTGTAATATGCCCATTCCACAACAAATGGTGTCCAAAGTTCATTAAGGTTCTATTATGGGCCCTTTGGGATTTTCATTGTTTGTCACAGATCTACCTAATTGTTTGACAGCTTTCAATGAGTTAATGTACGCAGATGATACGGTCCTCTACTACGCTGCCTCGGATGCAAACCAGCTATTTTAAGTGTTAAATAACGAGCTCAAATTCCTTTTGGATTGGTCAAACAAGAACGATCTGTTCTGTCATCCTAAGAAAACTGAATATGCAATATTTGAACCTTAACTGCTATGCAACTTAATCATTTGACTTTGTTAAGCTTAGTGACGTTTCGGGTGTGCCGGCGCAAAAGCTATCCGATATACAGTCAAACCTCTTTTAATTAATGCGAACACCAAAGGGACTAACCAAGTGTCGGCTTTACAGAAGTCTCCGTATTATAGAGGTAAGAAATGTATGATTTTTGGCATTTCTAGGACCAAACGAACTGTCCGTAATAGAGAGGTGTCCGTAAGGAGAGGTTGGACTGTACAGTCTAACCTATCCTTACGCACACCTCTATAATACGGACACTTCTGTAAAGCGCACACTTGGTTCTGTCCCTTCGGTGTCCTCGTTAAAGAAGTCTGACTGTCGTGTGAACATAGCCTCACACAATCAGCTGTCATTAGAATTTAGCTGAGTGTCCATAAGGCACGTTCTACTACAGTTAAACCTCTCCACGACGGCCACCTTAGAGACAGAAGAAAGTGGCCTTTGTAGAGAGGTGGCCATTGTAGAGAGGTTTAAACATCAAGAGTCAATGTAAGGACTGTCCGCCAAAAAAGTGGCCGTTGTAGGGAGGGGCCGTTGTGGAGGTTCGACTGTATACATAATCCAACCTTTGTGTTTACGTGAAGGTTTAAGTATGTCCATAAAAATGCTCCAGTTTTGTTTAGGAATTATTTTATCAAGTCATCACTAGGAGTAACGGTTTAATTCTTAAGGTACGTACAGAATCTGCAAAGAAAGGCTCCAATTTCATACTGTAATCCAAACTTTTGGTAATTTGCCACCGCATTTGAAAGCTGGTAATTAAAAAGTTAGAGGTCTTTAAAACGAAGTTTATAAAGTTTTCAGGTTTTATTGTGAGACATTATACATTTCGTTTAGATTTACTGATTGCTGTAACCCTTATTAGGAGTAACCTCAACGAACGGCCACCTCTGTACAATGGTCACCTTTCTACAACGGCCGCTTTCTTCTGTCACAAAGGTGGCCATTCTGGAGAGGTTCAACTGTATACATATTTCACAGGATAATTTAAATTAATACATCGAAGGGACCGAAACATATGGGCAGGAACATTTAAAGTAAAGTAAATTATTTTCTTGTAATATAAACTTGCAATATCAAAGACAAACTCCTTGGTGAAAATTTTCGTGAATAATCTAACTAAACCCCACATATAAAAACTTGCCTGACCTGGCTTGGCTAAACAGGTTTTTATATTTTTCTGAGAAATAAAATGACAAACTCCTGCTAGCCGGTTCTTAAACCACTTGGTTATTACTGTATTCGACGAATTAACACCCGGGCACCTGCTGATATGCTTTTCATACTGAATGAGAAATTTAAAAAATTTTTTCTTTTCCTTCACCATAAGACAAAAGCGTTCTTTATACCGTGCGAATAAAAAGCAGTGTTCACAATACTTGTGGGAGAACTGCTCCAAATTGTCTGGCTGAAATGAGTCCAAAAGAGCCAATGAGCTTGACAATGATTATTAAAATATGAACAAAAGGCTGGCCTCCTGGCTGGCCGTTTCCAAGGCATACGATATGTTTAACAAAACCGTCCCGCTGCGCAACATATGGTATTTCTTGTTCGGTTCGTAAGCTCACATATATTTACTTCGGCTTGGTGAGTGAATCTCCTCTGGACCTATAGTTCTTACATTTGTTCCGAGCGCGCCTTCTTGATCGATAGCGAGGGACTTTTTTTACCATCTCAGAGCAATCTGCCAATAAAACATTGTTCTGAATCACATTCATATGAATCAGATACCAAATACGTTAAGTAAAACATTTTTTCACACTGAAAACGACGCAACGAACCAACCATTAGTCTTAAGACTAGTCTGCTACGTCAAAACAAGAAAATAAATTATGTGGTAAAAGGTAAGACCACGTCACTAAAATCTAACTGGCTTTATGTTGCGTATCACGAAAAAAGGCAGACGGTTTTTGCGTGTTTTCAATCAAAGATATCAACTCCGAGAACGCAAGTATCTAATTTAGCCTGAATAGTATATCTTTGAACCTTTTAAAAAGTAGGAAACGAAGCCAAACATTTTCGTCGTAGGAGCACTTTAAATGGTAAATGACTTATCCGATCACCGAGTGTCAAAGTAGTCAAAATTTCCAGTCAAACTACCAATGGGTTCGCTCAATGAGAAGATTACCGAAAAATAAATGGTTTATTTAAATTTGAAATGGACCCACGTAAAAACAGATGGTATTGTAAAACAACAATCGTTGTATTACTTCTCCTGACATCGCCCAAATTGATTATTTTGCGTTGAATACGAAAAATATATAAGTGAAACTAAAAGAGAACAGGTTTTGTCACTAATTTGGCGCAAGATTAAGAGAGCGAAGAACCGTTCCCAGCATACTGAATGTGATTCATATATCGGTAAGGTTACTACTAGTACTAGTTCCCTTTTGCACTAAATTCCTGCTCAGAAATTTGCTGTCTTAAAATCAGAAGACACCTTGTGAATATGACAATATTTTTTAGCTTATTGACCTTTCTGGATATGAATGGAAAAGGCTCTAAACTCAACAATTCAGTTTTTTCTCTAACCTCCAGTAACAAAAGGATTCTTTTTGGTCGTTTTGAAAATAACGATAGAAGTTAATACATTACTGTTTCTTCCGTGTGCCATTTTGAGTCAATGTTCACAAATACCTTTTCACTCAATTTTCATGTTTCCTCTACGGCTTTGAGTTAAAGGCTTTTCGAATGATAAACCATTTACACCGTTTGAGTAACAAAATTGTCAAAGTTACTACTACAAACATTCATAACTTTATTTAACTTCAGATTTTAGAGTAGCCTAAAGGCTAGTATCTCCGTTGAGTTACACATACAACATCACACATAAAAATCATATTTACATGAAACCCCAAACCGTTGGTAATAGTAAACGTCTAATTTATGGAACTATGAGAAACAAGTAAACGTCTAAGTTCCTTCAGACTAATGGTTCTCCTAAAAGAATCGGGAAGCGAGTACCAATATTTCGCTGCGGCATCCCGGGGAGGGTACTTGGGTTAATTTTTGCTGCATGGTAGGTACATGTGCCGCTGGCCTCTCAGAGCCCCTACCCCACTATAGTCTATTCTGTGGCCAATTTTAGACCCCACCTTAGTCACTTTTGGAGAAAATATATAATTTTCGCAATCCAAACTTAGTCACTTTCTATTTTTATGAATTGACCCATTTTTTAGATTGAATGAAGAACACTTTACTTTTGTTCTACAGTACAAACATTCTGGTACGTTTGCTAACCGTAAATATGAAGAACTGTCTTATCCCAAAAAATCCGAAAGTGTGCTACCCCATTCTAGCAATTCTATTGAAAATGCGACCCCATCCAGCGGCACATCCCCATTAGCCTCTTATAAGGAAGTACCCTTCCCCACCCCCTTCCCGATGCGGCATTTCTAACTGAGTTAAGGCTGTATGTAGTTGTTTGGGGTTTGGCAAGACTAACACATTCGTACCCCTTAAGCTATAATCAGTTGTGATAAACTGAAATACCTCTTTAAGGTATTCTGAATAGTTAATAAAGTTAATGCATTTCAAAATACACATCATCATAGTGCTAATTCTCGTATTTGCCAGGCTGGGTGTATCGGCCCGCTCTATTAAAGTATCATAGTCACAGTTACTGAAACGTTTGATGCCACCTTTTTCCTCCAGTAAAGGGTAAACGTCGATCATCCTCAGCAAGGTAAAAACCACCGTCGGACAACCCTTCCTTTCAATTCACGAAATATTATTCACAATAAAATAAGACTAAGCAAGGGTATATGTCATGTTGTTAAGGCTATATCCAAATTCCTTTGATACTTCCTTTTCCGTTTGTTAAACATGAGCGAAAAGGACAAAACGGCCTAAAGATAATAATTTGATACTTTACACTTCTTTTTGTGTGTCTGGCTATCTCCAGCGTGCGTGGGAAATATTTTAGGGGAATCATGTTAGCATGTCCAAATGTCTATCAATATGATTCTCCTCCAGGGTACTGCACAGCATATAAAGACGATGACTTGGATGAGAAGTATAGTGTTCTCCAGCCTCTTAAGACTATTTCAGTTTATATGCCCATTTATTCCACAAACATCCTGCAACCACGATTTTAGAGCTTACAAGGATGGCGACGTAATAGTCGGGGGTCTGCTCAGCATACGCTTACCAGAGGGTGATGATCACTGCGGTAATCTTTTCACCACTGGACTTGGGCATGTAGAAGCTATAATATACGCTATTGAAAGCATAAACAAGAATCCCGTTCTTCTTCCGAACGTGACGCTCGGATATGACATACGAAACTACTGTTTTAGCACGAACATAGCTGTGAAAATAGTCTATGACTTCATGCAAGATGATTCTGCAACGGACAATACCATGCAAAACGGATCCAAGCCGATCTCAGTGCTTATTGGTCCTGACACTTCCGCCAGCGCAGTGCTGGTTGGAAGCTTTCTTCAAGTCGTTGACATTCCTGCCATCAGCTCAATTGCCACAAGCGTCGACTTGACTTCAAAATTGCACGAAAACTTCTTCAGAACAGTTCCACCTGACATCTGGCAGGCAAAGGTCATGGCAGACATTATAGAACTCTTTAACTGGACATACGTGGCGGCTGTGGGTTTGGATGACTCTTACGGACGGAATGGTATTTGGGCACTTGAGAAAGAATCATACAACAGAAAAACCTTCTGCGTTGCCTTTTCGGAGCACATCCCACGACGAGACTATCATGATAAAATCAAACAAACGGTTGCTAAGATTAAGCTCAGGTCTAATATCGGAGTGATCGTCGTCTGGCTAGCAAGCGATTATGGTAGAGAGTTTTTTCGAGAGGCAACGAGTAAAAACCTTGTAGAAAAGACTTGGATACTCAGCGACGCATTGACCTCTGAAGAAGCTGTGTTACTTGACCCTAACTTCGCAATGCTTAATGGCTCCTTAGGAATACAGCCACATGACTATCCAGTACCCGACTTTGAAGAGCACCTTAAGATTATCACCCCTGCAAAAAGCCTTGAAAGAGGCAGGGAGTGGTGGGAGGAATTCTGGAGATTAGAATTTAACTGCTCAGCAATTGATCTGGGACGAATTCCAACTTGCGAATCAAATCTGACGCTACACAATGCCCTAAAAAAGATCCGGAACTCTTTCGTGTCGTATGACATTGACGCTGTTTACGCTATTGCGCACGCTCTGGATAACATTAACCACTATTTAGTTACGAATAGAGATATTTCTTCCTCGAAACAGCCGAAAGTGAAGGGACGTGATCTACAGAAGTATCTCAAAAATGTTAGTTTTGATGGCTTAACTGGCAAAGTTCAGTTTGACATGTTTGGTGATCCTTTATCTGCTTCATACGACATTATTAACTTTCGAAGTAGATCAGCCACAGAAGGAGCTCGTAAAAAGATTCGGATTGGAGTCTGGGATAGAGAAGGTACGCCTAGACTCAATTTAAATGTCTCGGGATTACAATGGAAAAGCCTCTCGACTCAGTTTTCGTTCTGTTCCTCAGAGTGCTTGCCTGGCACCAGAAAAGAAATCACCGAGCCATGCTGTTGGGAATGTAAAAAGTGTCTTCCTGGAACTATCAGCACCTACATTGGATCCACCACCTGTACAAAGTGTGAGCCAGAGACAAAGTCAAATGAAGGGCACACTTGGTGTGAGAAGTTAACTATTGTCAATATCACCTTCACAACCGCCACTGGAATAACTATTACATTGGTGGCTTCCGTTGGAATTATCCTCACATTGTTAGTCTGCGGCACTTGGGTCAAGTTTTACAATACCCCAATCGTGAAGGCTTCCAGCAGGGAAATCTCTCTTATCTTGCTGTTTGGCATTTCAGTAGTTTTTATTTTAGCCGTCCTTGAACTTGCAGAGCCCAGCAAATCACTTTGCACTGCAGCGACATTCTGGCGTTATTTTGCTCTCAATATTTGTATTACGGTGCTCTTTTTGAAAACCATGCGAATCGCAAGCGTTTTTGAGGTTGATAAAGTTGCGCAGTTATTTGCACCGTGCTACAAAAACCTAAAAACGCAAATCGTCTTCCTTTTTGTTATGAATCTAACTGCCCTCTCTCTGTTGGCCCTGTGGATCGTTCTGGATCCTCCAAGGCGTAAAAAGATCATCCGCTCAGATGATTACATCTTTCTTGTGTGCAAACCTTTCGACACAAACATTGGCCTTGCACTGTTCATCACAGTCTGTAGTTACATCTTAATTGTGGCTCTCTTGTGTACATATTACGCTTTCAAAGCAAGAGGAATTCCCGAGAACTTTAACGAAACAAAATACATAGGATTCTCTATGTACGTTCTACTTTTGTCATCAATAGCATATTACCCTGTGGCGTTTGCTTTTGACAGCTGGTACGTAACACTCGTATCATGTACTACGGCGTTAATAACTTCGTTTGGCTTGTTGGGCTGCATGTTCGGACCAAAACTCTTCATTCTTCTCTTCCGTCCCCAGCAAAACTCCATGCAAAGCGTCAGGTCGCAGGTGATGAATTTCTCATTTAATAACGTAACGGCAACAAGAGTTTTCCCTGCTCCGATCAATGAGGGAGTTCCCAACGTTGTTCTGGAGTGAAACAGCAAGAAGGACTGTACAGATGAACTTTGACAAGCTACAATCCTCCAGTTTGTCAACCAGCTATTCTTTTAGCGAATAAACAAGGGAAAAGAAGAATTTAAACAATTTCCTTCAGGACCTGTTTTTATGTTTGCTAACCTGAGTGAACTTATAGACAGAAAAACGAACATTAACAACTGAACGAGGCCGAGCCGGGGTATTGACAGGTAGCCCCACTTGTAATTAAACACAAGGAACAGAGGTATGCGGAGTGTGCCATGAAAATGCAGAAGTGGCAAATTTGGGGAATGGTTTCTGACACTATGGTCAGTTAGCGTGTTAAGGGTGAACGCTTTTAAATACAAGTTTCCTTAATACATGATTGACTGAAGGTAGGTAGGAATCATACAGATTTGTGGATACAATATAATGTTTTCCTCAAAAATGTATAAATGTACAGTGCATAATTTGTTTCTGTACAAACCACACAAGGACGGTGACGATCATTCAAAGCGTAGTGCCTTCGTGCATCTTAAGACCGCCACTCCTTTTTGGCTATGAACAAACAACTTCCAAATATGCGAAAAAATTTATAAAGATGGCAAAATAATAATTGATGGACTCCTTAAAACCCACTATTCTGAAACTGCTAATCAATGTAACAGGATTTCTACAACAGATCTTGGCAATGAAAAGGCTATGATCTATGCCATAGAGAGAATGAACACGAATTTCACTCTTGTTCCGAACGTGCCAATCGGTTACGAGTTAAGAGACTACTGTTAGAACGGTGCATTGGTCTTGCAAATAGCCTATGAACTAATGCGTGTTAATTATCCAGGTCTAATCAAAACGCCAGCTTTTTTCGAACAGTTGTGTCACGAAAAACAAAACAAGGTAATCTCAGCACTTCTTGCACCTTTCAATACTGGAGGTGCGGTACTAGTAGGTGGCCCTTCGTCAAATTTTTTATATTCCCGCCATAAGCCCCACTGCAAAGGGCATACAGCTTAGTTCAAACGTCCAAGAACACCTCTCCAGAACAGTTCCACGAGACATCTGCCAAGTTGGGGCAGTGGCAAACATCATAGAATTCTTCAACTGGAGATACGTGGCGGCGGTGCGTTTGGATGATTCTTATGAATAGAAAAAAAACAGACACCTTTCGCCTTACCTTTTCTGAGTATATCCCGCAGCTAGACTACAAAGATAAAATCAGTCAAACTGTCCTGAAAGAAAGTCTGAAATCGCAGTGAGCATCGTTTGGCTTTCTGGCATTTACGGAAGTGCGATTTTTGCAAAAGCAACTGCTCAAAAACTCAATGAACAGACTTGGATACTATTTCTAGCATCTAACAGTGGTCTGCTCAGCATACTCTTCCCTAGTTGAGAGTGATGATCGCTGCGGTAATCTTTTCACAACAGGACTGGGCATGTAGAAGCTATAATATTGGCTATTGAAAGCATAAACAAGAATCCCGTTTTTCTTTCAAACGTGACACTCGGCTATGACATACGAAACTACTGTTTAAGCACGAACGTGGCCGTGATAATAGCCTACGACTTCATGCAAGATAATTTTGTAACAGACGGTACCATGCAAACAGATGCAAGCCAATTAACCCTACCAAATTCAGACTTCTTTATTCCTAGGTTCCATACCGCGAAATATGGCAGACACTCTATTAGATACCTTCGACCATTTTTATGGTCCAAATTGTCAAAAAAGGACAGAGACCTAACCACATTATCGGCTTTCAAAACGAGTATTCGGAAAAAAGACCTTTCCTAGCTGAGAACAGATGTTTAAATTGTAACTTGTGTAATATTTGAGACCGTAATTGTTAATTTACTTTTAGATTAATTAGATTGTGGACTATTTTATTGTTATTGTTATTACTTATTTATTTATTCATTTTTATATGTAATATTTTAACGTTATTAATGTAATCTTACAGTGAATGTTTATTGTAAATATTATCAAATGTAATCTTAAGCTTATTAAATAGATTTTTTTTACCTGGTGTCCCCGATTAGTAGGCTACTTGTGGCCAGCTTGAAGATTTTGACACGTTAATAAAGTTGTTCATTCATTCAGTCATTCTCAGTGCTTATTGGTCCTGAAACAATCCGCCAGCGCACGTTCTGGTTGGAAGCTTTCTTCAATTCGTTTATATTCCTACCATCAACTCATCTGCCACAAGCGTAGACTTAGTTTAAAATAGCGGGAAAACGTCTCCAGGACACTTCCGCCGAACATCTTTCATCAGGAATGAAGAGAAACTCATTAAATGGGGAGTGGAAGGCAAAATTAGTTATCTCCGTCTGTTTCTTTTCCTCAGGCGTTCGTGCCCACAACTAAGCTAACAGGAATTTCCAATTAAGGCAAAAAAAAGCAGGTGGAGATAGCAAATTTTGCATAACTAAGAAAATTCATGTGGGATAAGACATTGAAAAGCGAATTTGTATTTAATTGCCTAATTGAACGTTACAACACATTTTACAACGACTCATATGTTTAAGGTGCTTACTTACCCCATTTCAAAAAGCATTTTTTGTAACTCAACAATTACGACTTAATTTCGATCTAGAAGTCATATGTCACTGTACAATTTAGAAGTAAAAAAATTGTCCATGGAAAAAGGACGGGTTCCTTTTATATCTCTGCTGGCAGTCATCTTAAGATAAGCAATCCAGTCTAAATTCACTTAAAGAAGCTCTTCGAGAAATTACTGCCAGTTTAAAAACAGAGATAGTCGCTCCAAGAGAAACGTCAAGGTAAGATATGTGAGTGCATGCGATGCCTTTGGAAACATCCTTAGTGTGCTACAGCATTGACACCAAAACCAGTCAAAACCAATGCTTCTTTTGTAGCTTGACATGATACAGCGCGATGCACAAGACTGAGAGTACGCTTTTGTATAGTGCCTAATTTAAATGATAAGTTTTGCTGCTTTAGATAAAAACACCATTTACAGTGAGTCTACATTCTAGCACAAAAATTGGATAGCGATTGATCCTTTTTAAAGTAATGGTTTGCTGTTTGTGCTCGAGAAACTATTCCAGATGGAAAGTGAGTCCTCTTTATCAAATACTGCCAGCCTGCTGCCTCCTTTTCACAATTTTTTCTTAATCATGACTAATAAATGACTTTGGAAAGATACTCACTTCAAAAAAGATTGTCATATGTAAAATTTAGTGTTTCATGACGAGCTTTCTTAAACGACTCAAACTATTCGTGTCCAGCAGGTCGTGGGAATGATTGGTGCTTAGTCTTGAGTTATAGAGTCAACCAGCAACATTAAGCAAGTATATATACAAACATAAAAACCGGTTAGATTATCAGTTCTCTCGATAAAATTAAGAGATTGTTGCTGACGTATTACTAGGTGGCTACCTCACAACGTAATTTGTTTCAGGCGGCAAGAATAAAGATGACAACTTAGACAAGAAAAATGGTTTTCTGCGGACACTTTTACGTCTGTCAAGAGCAATCCTCCAAGGTCGGTCGGGTCCAAGCCCATTTCAGTGCTAATAGGCCCCTCTAGACTCTAGCTGTGCGTCATTGGTAGCAAGCTTACTAAAGGTCGCTGGGATTCCTGCCATTAGTTCAACTGCAACAAGCATAGAATTGAGTTCCCAATTTTACAATGACTTTTTCAGGCCAGCCCCTTTGCTAAGTGGCTAGTAAAGGCTATGGCAGACATAATAGAGCTCTTTAACTGGACATACGTGGCGGCTGTCGCTTTGGATGACTCTTATGGACAGAATGGAATTTTGGCGTTGGAGAAAGAAGCTTACAACAGGAAAACGTCCTGCATTACCCTTTATGAGCTAATTCCACGACTAGACTACCACGAAAACCTAAAACAGACATTTTTTTAAAATCAAGATGCACCGTAGAATAGGGGTGATCATTATTAATGGCAAATATCTGGAAACTTTCTCCATTGCGGCAACCGAAAAAGACTTACAAGGAAAGACCTTGATACTAGGCGACGGAAACACCATCGAAGAAACATTTCCGTTACTCCCGCGCTTCTTGATTCTCTCCACTAAAGGAGTTAAATTAACCCCACTAGAGGAGTTACCATAACTTCTTGAAAATTACTGTGCAGTTGTTTGCACCGTGTTACAAAAACCTAAAAACGCAAAGAGTCTTCCTTTCTGTTATGAAATTTACTCCCCTCTCTTTGCGAAAGGTTTGAACCCATAAGTTTCATAAGTAGGTTGAGTATGATCGTCCGGGTAACGTAGTCCTGAATAGGACTGTTGCTGACAGTAACCGACATTTCGACAACATGTGCGGTGGTCATCTTCAGAGTCAAAGTGAGTTGTATCACGTCAGTTGATGGTATTAAACTCTGGTTATTAACCTGATTGGTCAATTATAGCGACATTCGTTGTATAGTGCTGTGCGTTTTGCAACTCTTGGGTCTTTCCGTTCCGTCAATCATCTTAGCGGACCTCTTAGGAAACACATGTTTACTTGTAAGAGTTCAAAAGGTCATGGTTTGTGATTCGTGATTGGTAGATTTCGATCCGTTTTATTTCTTTGGTATTTCAAGGTTGATTGCTTTGTGAGCATCCTGTTTCTGGCAATAATCGACTTGTTTAAGTCTGCCTAGCAGATTTTTCTGATCTTTCTTATTCTTGTCACTTGCAAGAATAGAGCAACGTTTGCCTTCCTCCTTCGACAAAAAGTCCACTCACCATCGCGACTTCCTTCGCTATTCTTGAACAGTCTAGAGACATTCTCAGCCAAGCTGGGCGAACATTACATTGTGATTTGCATTAACCCGCCTTCTTTAAAATGATTAACGGAACAAAAATACCCGAAATCCCTTCTAACTTTCCATTACGCGCAGCGCGATACAATGAATTTCGCTGTAAGTCCCGATGTTATTGGTCGTCTGTCAGTTAAGCCGTGATGTTATTGGCTATGAAGACTCGTAATGTTATGTCATTGGTGCGTTTCGAACCGCCTATTGTCACAGTTAAACAGTGGTGTATTGTTAGTCAAATTATCGGTTGTCCAGTCATTCTCAGAGAAACCGGGTTCCTGTTTCTGAAAGTATTAAATTGAAAATTCTATTGCTCACCTTCTAGGCTCTATACCAACAATTCCCTGTTAACATTCAAGTTTTAGGAACTCACTACTCGCCGCCTCTCTGGTCACCTTCTACATTACGCCTGAATCCTGCTAACTTTCATTTGAGATGCCATGGGCCTAAAGTCTTCGCTTTTTCTGGTTAACATTTTGTGGTAAACTTTTCATTTTCATACAATACAATTTTTCCATCTACTCTATGTTTTGTGGCAGCCCAGCGAACGCCTTTCAGCGACTAGTTTCTTAACTTGGATTTTCGAGTTGTAAAACAGCTGCAGGTAGCTTGTGTAGTGATAACTAAATCACTTTCGAATAACTTTCGAATACATTTTTCAAGTTTTCAGGCAAGAATAAGAGGTATTCTTAATGAAAACAACAAAAACAGTCTCCGATTTTTTTATCAAGAGAGATTAATTGGTAGAATACACTTCTTTTTTCAGCTTAAGTATTTAAAATACTTACAGAAGTCATGTAAATATTTCAGTGTTATAAAAGGTTTTAGTTTTAGATTTTGCGATGGATTTTTAGAGATTAAAAAGATGCACAGCTCAGTTCTTGAAAGACTTTAGCAATATCATGTTTAAAATTTCTGTAAAAAATGTACCCTCATAGGTTGGTCCATCCGTATTGGACAGAAACAGTGCTGTTATTCAAAGTTTACAGTGTAAGAACAGTAAGATTTGCAAACTAGAAGTTTATTGTTTTGTATTTATTGTATTAAACGGGGCTTCTGCTTAGTCTATATAATTATTAGCTGTCTTAAAGAATAATAAACATAGGCTACTGAGGTACAAGTGGTTCACCTATCTGACCTATGCTTGAAACATCAATTCGCGTTCCCTCTATTGTCTCATCTTCCGGGTTTTTACTTTATGGATTGAATTCAAATGGGTCTTTGGATTTAAACGTCGACCTGCAGTTCTTTAAGGACCTCTTCAGACCAACACAAACTGTGATTGAACCCCTTCACAAACTTGTCATGTATAATTGTTCATTCTCGCACTAATATTTGTATTTGGGGGTAGTTTGGCCAACGAAATTGGAAGTAAAGTTTAGCCGTTTCGATTTCAAAGATAAAGACACGTATTAAACATCAGTTTCCTTTGCATTATCTTTCTGAACTAGAGTTTTCAACTATAAGAAATTACTCGACCATGAGGTGCATCGTGCATATTATTAAACAAATGTTTTAATCTTCAATACTGGTCTTTTGTTATTAAACTTGTCTGTTATTATCTACCACCAACACAAAATTAATCAACTCCACATAATACAAAACTAAGTCCCAAATTAACTCCATGGAAATTGAAAAAGAGATTGCCTCTAATAATAACAATATGTCCTCCTTCAAAAACAAATGGAGCCCTCTTAAACTTTGTCCCTCGGACAAATAAACAAAAGTTCCAAAAGTTAAAAGTGATGCAGAAACAAATGCAATTGCTTAGTTGGTAGGACAGACTCCTTATGTTTTTGTTGTATCGTGTTTTATTTTGCAATTTTGCAAATAGTAGTCAATTTTGTAAAACTTTTTTAGGCTTAATTAGTTGCAAATGCTGTAACATTGTATTTTTCCTTTATCTCTTGTACGTTGTTTTTATTTTCCCTCCATGTAAATGTAAGTATTGTCATTAGAAGTGTTGTAACCAAGTAAATGTTACTAAAAAAAAAAAAAAAANCCTCTTAAACTTTGTCCCTCGGACAAATAAACAAAAGTTCCAAAAGTTAAAAGTGATGCAGAAACAAATGCAATTGCTTAGTTGGTAGGACAGACTCCTTATGTTTTTGTTGTATCGTGTTTTATTTTGCAATTTTGCAAATAGTAGTCAATTTTGTAAAACTTTTTTAGGCTTAATTAGTTGCAAATGCTGTAACATTGTATTTTTCCTTTATCTCTTGTACGTTGTTTTTATTTTCCCTCCATGTAAATGTAAGTATTGTCATTAGAAGTGTTGTAACCAAGTAAATGTTACTAAAAAAAAAAAAAAAAAGTCCCAAATTAATTCATAATTTCAGAAGCGGATATTTTAATGTTTTGTTTTAAAGAAATATCAGGCTTCACTAATCGTTTCGAAACTTACCAAGCATTTGTTACCCACTTGTTAAAGTGTTTTATATTTCTTGTTACGTTAAACTCGTCTATAACATGAAGTCGCCTTACAGTGTTAATTTTAATAAAAATAGAGAATAGCAAGGTAAATTAAAGTCATCATGTTTGTTCCTCTTTCTGTGAGCGTTTGTGTCCATATGTTAACAGAAATTTCTAATTAAGGAGAATAGGGCAGGTGAAAACAACAAATTTTACACAGATAAGAACGTATATGACGGATATGAGATTCAACGACAAGTTATGAACGTCGCAACTCGCCTAAGGGGTTCAATTTTAGGTCACCTTTTTTGCAACCAGCACCTTAATAGACTGCACGAAAGCCCCACTCCCCAAGTAGCTATAGTGGAGGGCGGAAATGATGCCTCTCCTTGCAAAAAAGAGAAATAATCATTTACAGGGTGCCGTGTGTAGAATAAACGCAATACTGCTATCAAATAAGGGCGACCGCCCGTCAAGTTTTCATCTATTCTGTCGTCGCACAGTTAAACACAATTCATACATGAACTGAAAGTGCGAAAACATGTTCAATACACGAAAATAAATTTACCAAAAACGCCATGCTTATACTGCGGCTTAACATATTCAGCTTTATGTATAAAATACGAAATCTCTTAATCATAACTGTTCTTTACCCAACTACAAGTTAGATGACTTGCCTGCTTTTTTTATTTTTATCGCCTTTTTTAGAATAAAGAGACATTTTTGTTGCTTTGTCGAAGATGATAATAGCGGCTCGTAACCAGACTAGTGATGACTTAAAAATAAAGTATTGCATAGTGGTTTATCCCATGTACACGCATTTATCGAGACTGAATAAGCCAAACACGGAATTCACGCTTCCTAATAGTATACAAAAGCACAAATTATATCTTTGGAAGTTTTCCAGTTTTTTACTATGTTGAGGCTGCAAATCCACTATAAAATAATAAAAAAAAAATTGTCGTCCACCAGCAGTTCCTCTAACAGGTGCTGTGTTCCAAAAAAAATTTAACTTTCAATATTGCCTCCACAAGTTATTAAACGACACCACAAATGACAAACGCTATTAATCGGTTAGACGGCACAAGTGTCGAGTGGTAAATAAAGGAATTTCCATTTCGGCAGAAAAATCTCTAAGTTTTGGAAACTTAGCAAGCTTACCCATGTTTCTTCCTTTTCCCCAGCGGAAAGTAGCGGCAAGGTAAGTGACCTGAAAAAATTTATTCGTCCGTATAAATATAACGAACTAAACATGAATCGCTACACATGAACCGCAGTGTGCTTTTAGTCTTCACATATTTAACGCATTGCAGAAGCTTCCTCCGTAGGTTAAGTTTTACCCGTTTTTGATAGATTACAAAACTGGCCACCAAAACAAACCGGGATGGTAACCTACCAGCTAGGCTAAAGCTTTGCAGTCCACAAGGTACAAATCTTCATTGACAATTAATTTGGAGTATGGAAGTGGCGGTTGCCGCCACCGTCAAACCGAAACAACAATGCTTAACGGTGTAGGTGGTCCAGTAGACAATAAGGCAGAATCGGTTCGATTTGTAAACTAAATCGAGCTAGTAAACAACTAGAGTAAAGCTTTTCTGTCCATAAGGGACAAACGTCCAACGAATTTTGATATGGAGCGTGAACATTTCAGTCATCGCCTCGAAACAAACAGGAATGCAAAACGGGGTAGGGTTCTAAAGCAGAAATGGTCCGGAAAATGTGTAATGAAAAATATATGCCTTTAAAAATTCGTCTGGTTGTCTATGTAAAATGTGGCATTTCATGACTTGCTCCCGTAAACGTGTCGCATTTTTCGTCTCCACATTTTGGGAATGAAAGAATTTCTGGTGCTAAATCTTGAGTTAGGCTCATAACCAGGGACATTAAACAAGTATGCAAACACACAAACCAGTTTATATTTTTAGTTCTCTTGATGACCTAATTTGTTTTAGGCGGGAAGAGTAACGATGAAGACCTGGATTAGAAAAACTGTTCCCTACTGCTTTATAAGACTTACTCTCTTTGTTGTGCTATTTGGACACTGTAAATTTTGCAACCAAGAATTGAGAGCCTATAAAGATGGCGACGTAATGTTAGGTGGCCTATTTAGTCTCCATATGACTAGCAACGATAATCAACGGGGCGAATTTTCCGCTAAAGAGTTTGGACGCGCTGAGGCTGTCATCTTTGCTATTGACAGCGTAAACAAGAATTCCAGTCTTCTACCAAACGTTTCCATCGGGTGCGACATACGAAACTATTGTGACAGTCGGGCACTGGCGATGCAAGTAGCGTACGACTTCAAGCGTAATAGTGATCCAGTTTGTATGCATAAATCGAACTCCTCCATGTCTGCAAACAGCAGTTACACCAAGTGGGCCTGGTCCAAGGCCATCTGAGCGCTTGTTGGTTTTTATAATTCTGCCAGCGCGGTCCTGGTAGCAAGCCTACTTCAGGCCGCTGACATTCCTGCCATTAGCTCAACTACAACAAGCGAAGAATTGAGTTCACAGTTTTACAAAGACTTTTTCAGGACAGTCCCTTCTGATAAGTGGGTAGCAAAAGCCATAGCAGACATCATAGAACGCTTTAACTGGACATACGTGGCGGTTGTTGGTTTGGATGACTCTTTTGGAAGAAGTGGCATTTTAGCGCTAGAAAGAGAATCGCACAATCGTACGTTCTGTATTGCTTTTTATGAGTTGATCCCTCGCCTAGACTACCACGACAACATGGAACGGACCGTTGCTAGAATCAGGAAGCACGGTACAATAGGGGTGATAATCGTTTGGCTTTATGGCAAATACCTCGAAAAATTCTTCATTGAGGCGACAGAAAATGGTTTACAAGGAAAGACTTTGATACTAAGCGACGGAAGCACTATCGAAGAATCATTTCTCTTGGACCCACGCTTCTCGATTCTCAATGGATCACTGGTAATAGATTTATACGATTATCCTTTTCCTGCATTTGAGGAACACGTTAAGAATATCACTTCCGCAAAAAGCGCCGAGCGCGACGTAAAATGGTGGCGAGAGTTCTGGCGATCGCAATTTAACGGTTCAATGGGCAAATCGATTGATTTAGGGATTACACCGTGCAAGAGAAACCTAACACAGGACCAAGCGCTTTTTAAGCTACGCAGCTCCTTCGTATCATATCTAATTGATGCTGTGTACGCCATTGCATATGCTCTAGATTCCATCTACCGCTGTACCACTGAACAAGGTTTTCGAAATGAAGGTAGACCGTGTCCTTTGGCCAATCCGACCATTAAGGGACGCGATCTAAAAAAATATGACTCTTTGCAGTCAAAACTACCAAACTGGCCTTTTCACGCTAAATTATCCAAACCTCTAGGAAACAGACGAAGTATGTCGTAGTACTTGAAGGTTGGAAGTAGTCGGTATCCTCGTGTAGAGAGAAAGGTGATGGTGGGAACTTGGAACAAGGATAGCACGCCTGAACTCAAGATAAACACATCGCTATTACGCTGGAAAACTATGTCACCCTAGGTGTCTTTCTGTTCAACAAAATGCCTTCCAGGCACCAAAAGGGAAATTACCTCGCCGTGTTGTTGGGACTGCGTTAACTGTCCTCAGGGAACCATCAGTGCCGAGATCGGATCCACGAGCTGCTCAGTGTGTGAGCCAGAAACAAAGCCAAATGATGGGAGCACCAGGTGTGAAAATCTACCCATCTTAAACGTCACTCTCAAAACCGCCGCAAGAATAACCATAACAGTGGTGGCTTCCATCGTATTCATTCTCACATTGTTAGTGTGCGGCACCTACATCAATTTTTATAACACCCCAATCGTGAAGGCTTCGAACAAAGAGGCCTCTCTTCTGCTGCTTTTTGGCATCTCAGGTCTCCTTATATTAGCTGTCCTTGACGTTTCTGAACCTAGCGATTTTCTTTGCATTCCAGCAACTTTCTGGCGTTATTTCACCCTCAATCTGTGTGTTACAGTGCTCTTTACGAAAACGATGCGGATTACAAGCGTGTTTGAGATTGACAAAGTGGCCCAGTTGTTTACACCATGTTACAAAACCGTGGCAAGGCAAACCATTTTTGTTTCTGTAGTGAATGCAGTTCCAATCTCTCTGTTAATTCTTTGGGTGTTTACGGATACTCCTGGGTGCGAAAAGATCATTCGTTCAGATGAGTACATCTTTCTTGTGTGCAATCATTATTACACCAACACCGGCTTCGCACTCTTCATTGCTGTTTCTTTTTACGTACTAACTGTGGCTCTCTTGTGTACGTATTACTCTTTTAAAGCAAGAGGAATTCCTGAAAACTTCAACGAGACAAAATACATAGGTTTCTCCATGTACATTCTACTGTTGTCATCAATAGTATATTACCCTGTGGCGTTTAGGTTTTTTATAGTTGGTACGTAACACTCGTTTCTTGTTTAACGACGTTAGTATCGGCGTCTGGCTTGTTAGGTTGCATGTTCGTGCCCAAAGTCTACATTCTTCTTTTCTGTCCCCAGCAAAACACGATGGAATACGTCAGGTCGCAGGTGTTGCGTTTCTCTTTTGGCAGCGTAGCAGGAGCAAGAGTTTTTCCGAAGCCCGTCAATACCGGAATATCTAACCCAGCTCTAGAGCCAGAAAACGGAAGGGCTTGTACGAGTAAATTATAGTGTAAATTACAGTTTTATTTCTCAGATTTAACAAATGCTTGGTAAGAATAGGGAAAAACTAATTTAGTGTCGTTTTTTAACCTAAGCTACTTCTTTTACTTAGTTGAATATCGATTAAGAAACTTTGATTAACCCTTGAGCGAATTGATTGAGACCAAGAAGTGGTTGGCCACGAGGCCTTTTCTGCATTGGTGTCTTTTAGCACATTAGACATTAAAAAGTACAGAAAATTTCCACACAAGGATATTCGCCATTAAAGTCGGCTGGGAATATTGATCTTCTGACACTATTTTATGTACACTAAGATGCACTGAAAGACATTGATAGCTAAAGCGGAGGACCATCACTCGAAAGACAATGGCACAACCAAAAAAGACAGTCTGACACCGACATAGGCCGCAAATGACCGCATGATCGAGAATAAATGAGTGGCGTGACATCACACTATATGGTGACCAGAATCAAACTGAAATGATCAATTTTTATTAACATAATAGCACGTAAAAATCTGTCATTCCCAGATCAAAACGATCTTGTACAAAGTTAGATAATCAAAGAACGCGAATTTCATTCATGCATGCCTTGTAGAATTGGGCAAGAGAACTAAGCACCTGGCTGGGCCATCAAATGTTAACTCAAATTCTGAAAATGTGCATGAAGTCGTTTAACAAAAGGAAAGCCACTCTAAGCCAATACTTATCATAATTTATCATTTATCATTTTTACAGCCCTCATAGGAGAGTAAGACGAAACGAAGATATGTTATTGTTTAACCAGGTTTGCAACCAAAAATTTAGTAGGTTTTTTGAGTGTAACTCTGTCAGTATTGGTCAGGATTGGTCAGAATTTCCAAAATGACGAGGTATCTATACAAAGATCTTTCGTTCCGGCATTCGTTGCTTAACAACGTAATCACTTAAAGTGAGGGCTAAGTCGGTTCAGGAATGTGTAATCTGCACTTTTCCATACTGCTCCAATTTACAGCCAAGGAATAATGCCTTCACGTCCAGAAGCAATTATGGGCGCATGTGCCTCTTTAGCACTGTACTTCTACTAGGAAGTATTTATTTCTATCATATTCTATTTTTTTAACTTGGGAATGAAAAAAGGATTATAATGGAAAGTCAGTTGGCAGGTTCATCATTGTCATCATCATTCTATGGTGTGCGCCAGAATATTTTGCCCTACAAGAACTCGATAAAGCGACACGAACTGTGACTGAACCGCTTCACAAACTTCCCACGTATGTCTATTCATTCCTGAATTAATATTTAGATTTTAGGTTGGCCAACGAAATGTCGATTTCAGAAATAAAGACACTTATTACACATTAGCTTCCTTTGCATTATCAGTCTATGAACTAGAGTTTTTGAACTACCAACAATTACTAGACGCACCAGATATTTTTATCTTCCACATTACTTTTAAAAAGTATGTCTGTTATTATTTATACCAACGACTCAAAAATAATGATTTTCACACTAGACAAACCTGAGTCCCAAATCCACCAATAATTTCAGCAGGGAGTGCTTTTATTGCAATAAGAGATATCAGGCTTCGCTAATAGTTTTGAAACTTACCAACCATTTTCATGGTACACACTTGTTATTTTGTTTCTAGTCAAAGTAAACTCTGCTAACATGAATACGTCTTGTAGAGGTTATTTCACGAAAATAGGAATAGGAAAGTAAATTATAGTCATCTTGTTTGTTCCTTTTTCTTTGATCTATTAGGAATTTCCAAAAAAGAAGAATAGACAAACTGAATAGGGCAGGTGAACATAACAAACTTTACATAGCTAAGAAAATATATAACGGACAGGTTATCAACGTCGCCAATGCAAGTCAAGTCAAGTAACTTTATTTAAACTCGGTAAAAATATCAGGCATATAACTAATATAAAATTCTAAGCTATTCTTACAATATAAATATATATATAACTTCACAGAAGTTCAGGTTTCACGAGTAATCATCGTTTTATTGCTACAGAACTGTTTCGTATGATTACTCGTGAAACCTGAACTTCTGTGAAGTTATATATATATTTATAGCTGATGCTCCTCAACCAATTGAGTCGAGCGCTCTACGAAATACGTTCTACTCAGAAAACGAATTTATATATATATATATATATATATATTTATATATATATAACCTATGATCTAACCTATATAATAATATGATAATAAATAGGACATAAAGCAGATGTACATATAATATTAAATAATGAATAAATAATAGATAGTATATCAATTAAGTTAGCCTGCTTTCCATGGATGCCGAGTGTTTATTATTTCAAGGATTCCTAGCAGCCAGATTTAAAACTGTGTATGGATTCTGCCTGCCGAAGAGTCGAAGGCAAACCGTTCCATAAGACCGCCCCGCTATAACGAACACTATTTTTAACATAATTAATTGGTGCGGGGAAGAGGGACATCAAATTTATTAGAGGAATCTCTCAAGAAATAATTCGAAACACGATTTACAAATCTATGCTGTAGATAATCAGGCGCTAAACCGTGAGTATATTTGTAAACGATGTTTACTGTGTGGAGTACGCAACTCGCCTCAATACTTCAATTTTAAGTTAACTCTTTTGCAACACTTTGTTGTAGGATGCAAGAAAACCCCACTCCACAAGTAGCTGCGGCGGAGGGGGGAACGAAAGTCTCTCCTTGAACAAAGAAGAAAGAAAAAGAAAAGAAATAATCATCGACAAGGTGCCGTATGCGGATTAGAATCCCGTCAAGTTTCCAGCTATTCTGTCAACTCACTTTTAAACACAATTACTTCAACTGAACGTACGAAAACATATTCAGTAAACGAAAACAATGTCTTAAACCGCTATGCTCATCATGCGGTTTAACATATTCAGCTTTATCTATAAAATATGAAAGCTCCTAATGACTGCTCTTGTAAGTAGTCATATAGGCTACACTAGGGACTAACCAATCAGAGCGCAGCAGAAATTTGTGTTAACCAATCAGAATCAAGCATTTAGCCCATGTGACCAAAATGACGTCACAAGCTCCCATATTTGGGCATCCAATTCACGTGACCCCATGGGGAAAAGAACACGCACACACAAGAGGTTGATCCACATTCTTCACATAGTTTTATTGACCGCGTAAAGCCTGGTAACAAGCGGGACGCATGCGCAGTTCAACCCCAGACGTTTCCCCTGGGCAGTCACGTGAATGGGATCGTAGGCACATGCGCAGACCGCCAAACGACTCCCCAGGTCCCCCGCATTCATAGGAGCACATGTCCGACTAGACCTACAGCGCATGCGCAAACACTCAAACGAAGCCCCAGACCCCTCGCATCACCGGAAGTCAATAAAAACACACTGTATGAAGGTCAACATCATCCATCCATATCATTTAATACACGCATGCCCATACAACTGACATAATCGTTCCACATGCGTGTCCACGCCTTTAGCACCGCCCGTGTAAATAGTCAGAGGCATGGTCTGTCAAAAACAATGAAACACCGTGTTTTAGGGTGAGACAACACCAAGAGACCCACTTGGTGGAGCACCATGATCGCTTACCTTGGATGGGAGAGCACTGTGATGAATGAGATGACCGTCGTGCCACCTCTGGTATTAATAGCGGAAGGCGTAGGCTCTGATTGGTGGAGCCTCCGATCACACCACCCTCACGAGTTTCAAAGGCTGAGTCAGGATTGGTGGAAAAAAGATAGTATGAGGATCACGAGACGCAAGGACATGGGCTATAAAAGGCAGGCCAGACATGCACCCAGCGTCATTCCGCCCAGACATGGAACGTCAAGCCACTCAACCTGCCGCGGTGCCCTCAGGACGCAAACGACGCCGAGTGAGTAGTAGTAAGAAACCCAAGGGGGAAAAAGAAGCCCTAGACATGAAAGCCACCCGTGAACTCGAGATGACTCTGATCGGTGTGCCCCGAGCTGAAGCGGAGGAATATCAAGCGCAAGCTGTAGTGAAGAAAGTAGAACCGACCCCCACCAGTGAACTCGTGTGGGCCCTGAACGCCCTACCCCGAGCAGACCCACCCCCTACACCTTCCCCCGTCGTCTCACCCGTCCCCTCAGTGAACGACTTGATGGAGGGCACCCTGAAAGATTATGAGGAAGAGTGTCTAGAGGAAGGGACGTGTCAGTCGGATCCTGCCAAGGAAGAACATGACCTCGATCAGATGGACACCCAGTTGAACGAGCTCTTGTATGAAACGTGCCCCTTTCATCCTTGTGAATACATCCAGTGCGTCAACCCCCAGACCCAATTTGGCCAATTGAGGTTCAAGTGCCCCCAAAAAGGATGTCCCGTGTATTTGTTTGAAGATAGTCGGGAAGTGATGATGGAGAAATTGAAAGAAGACACGCACCCTCAAGTCCGTGCCCGAGTGCAACGAGGGGAGCTCAAGTGCAAATGTGGGTTGGTCCCTAGGATGAAATTGAGCCGGACCAGCAAGAATTACCAGAAAGTGTTTTTCAGTTGTGGAAGCTTTCTCTCAGGGCAAGACCCCTGTGGCTACTTTCAATGGCTCCATGGCCCGCTGTGGTGCCCCCGAGAGCCAGCGCAACCCACGCTGAGACGATGGGTGAAAGACACACCCCCTGAGCTCCATACCAGAGAGGTTCTACCTATCCCCCTTTTGAAAGGAAAAGGTTATGAGATGGAGACATCCCCACCCTGGGAGATGAACTTTATCGAGAGGCATAGACCGTGGGCCAATCAGTTTGGGGAAGCCATCAAAGCCAAGGAGCGAGCCTTGGAGAGCAGGCGCCATTTGCATAAGAACTTTGGTAGCTCGTGTTTGTTTTGAAAAAAGTCATGTAGGTGTGTGAAAAAACTATTAAAGACAGAGATTGGCTAGGATCGTGTGTCAGTGTCTTGATGTCGTTGCCACGCGCTTATGAAGATCCCCAGCAACCCGGGGCCTTGGGCGGGGTCCAACCCTTTGCCCAAGCTCATAAATTGAAAACCCCGCAAGCGCAACGGATTCTCCAATCGGTGTTGAGTTATACCCTCCACAAACCCCGACGGACGCGGTTTCCCACCGCGCCCACGTTGGTCTTTGACCGAGACGAACAATGGCAGATAGTCATCTTCAGAGTCAAAGTGAGTTGTATCACGTCAGTTGATGGTATTAAACTCTGGTTATTAACCTGATTGGTCAATTATAGCGACATTCGTTGTATAGTGCTGTGCGTTTTGCAACTCTTGGGTCTTTCCGTTCCGTCAATCATCTTAGCGGACCTCTTAGGAAACACATGTTTACTTGTAAGAGTTCAAAAGGTCATGGTTTGTGATTCGTGATTGGTAGATTTCGATCCGTTTTATTTCTTTGGTATTTCAAGGTTGATTGCTTTGTGAGCATCCTGTTTCTGGCAATAATCGACTTGTTTAAGTCTGCCTAGCAGATTTTTCTGATCTTTCTTATTCTTGTCACTTGCAAGAATAGAGCAACGTTTGCCTTCCTCCTTCGACAAAAAGTCCACTCACCATCGCGACTTCCTTCGCTATTCTTGAACAGTCTAGAGACATTCTCAGCCAAGCTGGGCGAACATTACATTGTGATTTGCATTAACCCGCCTTCTTTAAAATGATTAACGGAACAAAAATACCCGAAATCCCTTCTAACTTTCCATTACGCGCAGCGCGATACAATGAATTTCGCTGTAAGTCCCGATGTTATTGGTCGTCTGTCAGTTAAGCCGTGATGTTATTGGCTATGAAGACTCGTAATGTCATGTCATTGGTGCGTTTCGAACCGCCTATTGTCACAGTTAAACAGTGGTGTATTGTTAGTCAAATTATCGGTTGTCCAGTCATTCTCAGAGAAACCGGGTTCCTGTTTCTGAAAGTATTAAATTGAAAATTCTATTGCTCACCTTCTAGGCTCTATACCAACAATTCCCTGTTAACATTCAAGTTTTAGGAACTCACTACTCGCCGCCTCTCTGGTCACCTTCTACATTACGCCTGAATCCTGCTAACTTTCATTTGAGATGCCATGGGCCTAAAGTCTTCGCTTTTTCTGGTTAACATTTTGTGGTAAACTTTTCATTTTCATACAATACAATTTTTCCATCTACTCTATGTTTTGTGGCAGCCCAGCGAACGCCTTTCAGCGACTAGTTTCTTAACTTGGATTTTCGAGTTGTAAAACAGCTGCAGGTAGCTTGTGTAGTGATAACTAAATCACTTTCGAATAACTTTCGAATACACTTTTCAAGTTTTCAGGCAAGAATAAGAGGTATTCTTAATCAAAACAACAAAACTGTCTCCGATTTTTTTATCAAGAGAGATTAATTGGTAGAATACACTTCTTTTTTCAGCTTAAGTATTTAAAATACTTACAGAAGTCATGTAAATATTTCAGTGTTATAAAAGGTTTTAGTTTTAGATTTTGCGATGGATTTTTAGAGATTAAAAAGATGCACAGCTCAGTTCTTGAAAGGCTTTAGCAATATCATGTTTAAAATTTCTGTAAAAAATGTACCCTCATAGGTTGGTCCATCCGTATTGGACAGAAACAGTGCTGTTATTCAAAGTTTACAGTGTAAGAACGGTAAGATTTGCAAACTAGAAGTTTATTGTTTTAAGTAAATGGTAATATTAAACGGGGCTTCTGCTTAGTCTATATATTAGCTGTCTTAAAGAATAATAAACATAGGCTAATGAGGTACAAGTGGTTCACCTATCTGACCTATGCTTGAAACATCAATTCGCGTTCCCTCTATTGTCTCATGTTCCGGGTTTTTACCTTATGGATTGAATTCAAATGGGTCTTTGGATTTAAACGTCGACCAGAAGTGCCTTAAGGACCTCCTTAGACCAACACGAACTGTGATTGAACCCCTTCACAAACTTGTCATGTATAGTTGTTCATTCTCGCACTAATACTTATATTTGGGGGTAGTTTGGCCAACGAAATTGGAAGTAAAGTTTAGCCGTTTCGATTTCAAAGATAAAGACACGTATTAAACATCAGTTTCTTTTGCATTATCTTTCTGAATTAGAGTTTTCAACTATAAGAAATTACTTGACCATGAGGTGCATCGTGCATATTATTAAACAAATGTTTTAATCTTCAATACTAGTCTTTTAGTTATTAAACTTGTCTGTTATTATCTACCACCAACACAAAATTAATCAGCTCCACATAATACAAAACTAAGTCCCACATTAATTTATAATTTCAGCAGCAGATGTTTTAATGTTTTGTTTTAATAAATATCAGGCTTCACTAATCGTTTTGAAACTTACCAATGCAAGCATTTGTTAACCACTTGTTAAAGTGCGTTATATTTCTTGTTACGTTAAACTCGTCTATAACATGAATTCGCCTTATAGTGGTAATTTTAATAAAAATAGAGAATAGCAAGGTAAATTAAAGTCATCATGTTTGTTTCTCTTTCTGTGAGCGTTTGTGTCCATATATTAACAGAAATTTCTAATTAAGGAGGATAGGGCAGGTGAAAACAACAAATTTTACATAGATAACAAGATATATGACAGATACGAGTTTCAACGACAAGTTATGAACGTCGCAACTCGCCTAAAGGGTTCAATTTTAGGTCACCTTTTTTGCAACCAGCTCCTTAAAAGACTGCACGAAAGCCCCCCTCCCCAAGTAGCTATAGTGGAGTGGGGAAATGATGTCTCTCCTTGCAAAAAAGAGAAATAGTCATTGACAGGGTGCCGTGTGTAGAATAAACGCAATACTGCTATTAAATAAGCAGACCGCCCGTCAAGTTTTCATCTATTCTGTCGTCGCACAGTTAAACACAATTTCATACATAAACTGAACGTGCGAAAACATGTTCAATAAACGAAAATAAATTTACCAAAAACGCCATGCTTATCCTGCGGTTTAACATATTCAGCTTTATGTATAAAATAGGAAATCTCTTAATCATAACTGTTCTTTACCCAACTACAAGTTAGATGACTTGCTTGCTTTTACATGTTTATCGCCTTTTTTAGAATAAAGAGAAATTTTTGTTGCTTTGTCGAAGATGATAATAGCAGCTCGTAACCAGACTAGTGATATCTTAAAAATAAAGTATTCCATAGTGGTTTATCCCATGTACACGCATTTGTCGTGACTGAATAAGCCAAACACGGAATTCACACTTCCTAGTAGTACACAAAAGAACAAATTATATCTCTGGAAGTTTTCCAGTTTTTTTTTTTCAGCCATGTTTATGAAAAGCGCAGTCATAATGTCCATAAAATAACGAGAACTCATTAAGGAAAATAACTGACAAAATGTATAACTGACAAACAAATATGACTCGTACAACATGAAAAGGGAAGTTACTTTAAAATGGACGTCATTATAATTTCAACAAAAGCATTTTAAGTATTTGAGACGCTGAAGTAACCTCTTTCTTGAGGGCTTTTACTTTGGTTCTTTGTTAAACAAGGATCATCTCTCGATCTCATACAGTAGCGGCAAGGTAAGTGACCTGGAAATATTTATTCGTGTATATAGATATAATGAACTTAAAATAAATCCCTACGCATTAACTTACCGCAGTGTGCTTCTAGTCTTCACATATTTAACGCATCGCAGAAACTTCCTCCGTAGGTTACGTTTTACCCCTTTTTGATAGATTACAAAAACTGGCTACCTCTGTAAAACAAACCGGGATGGTAAACTACCAGCTAGGGTAAAGCTTTGCTCTCCACAAGGTGCAAATGTTCAATGACAATTAATTTAGAGTATGGAAGTGGCGGTCGCCGCCACCGCCAAACCGAAACAACAATGCTCAACGGTGTAGGTAGTCCAGTAGACAATACGGCAGAAATGGTTCGATTTGTAAACTAAATCGGGCTAGTAAACAACTAGAGTAAAGCTTTTCTGTCAATAAGGGACAAATTTCCAACGAATTTTGATATGGAGCCTGAACGTTTCAGTCATCGCCGCCAAACAAACAAAAATGCAAAACGGGGTAGGATTCTAAAGCAGAAATGGTCCGGAAAATGTGTATTGAAAAATAGATGCCTTTAAAAATTTGTCTGGTTGTCCTTGTAAAATGTGGCATTTCACGACTTGCTCCCTTAAACGCTTCGCATTTTTCGTCTCCACATTTTGGGGATGAAAGAATTTCTGGTGCTAAATCTTGAGTTAGGCTCATAACCAGTGATATTAAACAAGTATGCAAACACACAAACCAGTTTATATTTTTAGTTCTCTTGATGACCTAATTTGTTTTAGGCGGCAAGAATAACGATGAAGACCTGGATAAGAAAAACTGTTTCCTACTGCGTTATAAGACTGACTCTCTTTGTTGTGCTATTTGGACACTGTAAATGCTGCAACCAAGCATTGAGAGCCTATAAAGATAGCGACGTAATGTTAGGTGCCCTATTTAGTCTCCATATGGCTAGCAACGATAATCAACGGGGCGAATTTTCCGCTAAAGAGTTTGGGCGCGCCGAGGCTCTCATCTTTGCTATTGACAGCGTAAACAAGAATTCCAGTCTTCTACCAAACGTTTCCATCGGGTACGACATAAGAAACTATTGTGACCGTCGAGCACTGGCGATGCAAGTAGCCTACGACTTCAAGCGTAATAGTGATCCGATTTGTATGCATAAATGGAACTCCTCCATGTCTGCAAACAGCAGTTACACCAAGTGGGCCGGGTCCAAGGCCATCTCAGCGCTTATTGGTCCTTATAATTCTGCCAGCGCGGTCCTGGTAGCAAGCCTACTTCAGGTCGCTGACATTCCTGCCATTAGCTCAACTACAACAAGCGAAGAATTGAGTTCACAGTTTTACAGACTTTTTCAGGACAGCCCCTTCTGATAAGTGGGTAGCAAAAGCCATAGCAGACATCATAGAACGCTTTAACTGGACATACGTAGCGGTTGTTGGTTTGGATGACTCTTTTGGAAGAAGTGGCATTTTAGCGCTAGAAAGGGAATCGCTCAATCGTACGTTCTGTATTGCTTTTTATGAGTTGATTCCTCGCCTAGACTACCAAGACAACATGGAACGGACCGTTGCTAGAATCAAGAAGCACCGTACAATAGGGGTGATAATCGTTTGGCTTTATGGCAAATACCTCGAAAAATTCTTCATTGTGGCGACAGAAAATGGTTTACAAGGAAAGACTTTGATACTAAGCGACGGAAGCACTATCGAGGAAACATTTCTCTTGGACCCACGCTTCTCGATTCTCAATGGATCACTGGTAATAGATTTATACGATTATCCTTTTCCAGCATTCGAGGAACACGTTAAGAATATCACTTCCGCAAAAAGCGCCGAGCACGACGTAAAATGGTGGCGAGAGTTCTGGCGATCGCAATTTAACTGTTCAATGGGCAAATCGATTGATTTAGGGATTGCACCGTGCAAGAGAAACCTAACACAGGGCCATGCGCTTTCTAAGCTACGCAGCTCCTTCGTATCATATCTAATTGATGCTGTGTACGCCATTGCATGTGCTCTAGATTCCGTCTACCGCTGTACCACTGAACAAGGTTTTCGAAATGAAGGTAGACCGTGTCCTTTGGCCAATCCGACCATCAAGGGACGCGATCTACAAAAATATGACTCTTTGCAGTCAAAACTACCAAACTGGCCTTTTCACGCTAAATTATCCAAACCTCTAGGAAACAGACGAAGTATGTCGTAGTACTTGAAGGTTGGAAGTAGTCGGTATCCTCGTGTAGAGAGAAAGGTCATGGTGGGAACTTGGAACAAGGATAGCACGCCTGAACTCAAGATAAGCACATCGCTATTACGCTGGAAAACTATGTCAACCCCGGTGTCTTTCTGTTCAACAAAATGCCTTCCAGGCACCAAAAGGGAAATTACCACGCCGTGTTGTTGGGACTGCGTTAACTGTCCTCAGGGAACCATCAGTGCCGAGATGGGATCCACGAGCTGCTCAGTGTGTGAGCCAGAGACAAAGCCAAATGATGGGAGCACCAGATGTGAAAATCTACCCATCTTAGACGTCACTCTCAAAACCGCCGGAGCAATAACCATAACAGTGGTGGCTTCCATCGTATTCATTCTCACATTGTTAGTGTGCTTTCACCTACATCAATTTTTATGACACCCCAATCGTGAAGGCTTCGAACAAAGAGGTCTCTTTTCTGCTGCTTTTTGGCATCTCAGGTCTCCTTATATTAGCCGTCCTTGACGTTTCTGAGCCTAGCGATTTTCTTTGCACTGCAGCAACTTTCTGGCGTTATTTCACCCTCAATCTGTGTGTAACAGTGCTCTTTACGAAAACGATGCGGATTACAAGCGTGTTTGAGATTGACAAAGTGGCCCAGTTGTTTACACCATGTTACAAAACCCTGGCAAGGCAAACCATCTTTGTTTCTGTAGTGAATGCAGTTCCAATCTCTCTGTTAATTCTTTGGGTGTTTACGGATACTCCTGGGTGCGAAAAGATCATTCGTTCAGATGAGTACATCTTTCTTGTGTGCAAACATTATTACACCAACACCGGCTTCGCACTCTTCATTGCTGTTTCTTTTTACATACTAACTGTGGCTCTCTTGTGTACGTATTACTCTTTTAAAGCAAGAGGAATTCCTGTAAACTTCAACGAGACAAAATACATAGGATTCTCTATGTACATTCTACTGTTGTCATCAATAGTATATTACCCTGTGGCGTTTACGTTTGATAGTTGGTACGTAACACTCGTTTCTTGTTTAACGACGTTAGTATCGGCGTCTGGCTTGTTAGGTTGCATGTTCGTGCCCAAAGTCTACATTCTTCTTTTCCGTCCCCAGCAAAACACGATGGAATACGTCAGGTCGCAGGTGTTGCGTTTCTCCTTTGGCAGCGTAGCAGGAGCAAGAGTTTTTCCCAAGCCCGTCAATACCGGAATATCTAACCCAGCTCTAGAGCCAGAAAACGGAAGAGCTTGTACGAGTAAATTATAGTGTAAATTACAGTTTTATTTCTCAAGTTTAACAAATGCTTGGTAAGAATAGGGAAAAACTAATTTGGTGTCGTTTTTTAACCTAACCTACTTCTTTTACTTAGTTGAATATCGATTAAGAAACTTTGATTAACCCTTGAGCGAATTGATTGAGACCAAGAAGTGGTTGGCCACGAGGCCTTTTCTGCATTGGCGTCTTTTATCACATTAGACATTAAAAAGTACAGAAAATTTCCACACGAGGATATTCGCGATTAAAGTCGGCTGGGAATGATTGATCTTCTGACACTATTTTATGTACACTAAGATGCACTGAATTACAACTTTGAAAAGACATTGATGGGTAGAGCGGAGGACCATCACTCGAAAGACAATGGCACAACCATAAAAGACAGTCTGACACCGACATAAGCCGCAAATGACCGCATGATAGAGAATAAATGAGTTGCGTGACATCACACTATGGTTACCTGAATCAAACTGAACTGATTAATTTTTATTAACATAATAGCACGTAAAAATTTGTCATTGCCAGATCAAAAAGATCTTGTACAAAGTTAGATAATCAAAGAACGCGAATTTCATTCGTGCATGCCTTGTAGAATTGGGCAAGAGAACTAAGCACCTGCCTGGGCCATCAAATGTTAACTCAAATTCTGAAAATGTGCATGAAGTCGTTTAACAAAAGGAAAGCCACTCTAAGCCAATACTTATCATAATTTATCATTTATCATTTTTACAGCCGTCATAGGAGAGTAAGACGAAATGGAGATATGTTATTGTTTAACCCGGCTTGCAACCAAAAATTTAGTAGGTTTTTTGAGTGTAACTCTGTCAGTATTGGTCAGGATTGGTCAGAATTTCCAAAATGACGAGGTATCTATACAAAGATCTTTCGTTCCTACATTCGTTGCTTAACAACGTAATCACTTAAAGTGAGGGCTAAGTCGGTTCAGGAATGTGTAATCCGCACCTTTCCACACTGCTCCAATTTACAGCCAAGGGGTAATGCCTTCACGTCCAGAAGAAATTGTGAGCGCATGTGCCTCTTTAGCAGTGTACTTCTACTAGGAAGTATTTATTTCTAACATATTCCTTTTTTTAACTTGGGAATGAAAAAAGGATTATAATGGGAAGTCAGTTGGCAGGTTCATCATTATCATCATCATTCTATGGTGTGCGCTAGAATATTTTGCCCTACAGGAACTCGATAAAGCGACACGAACTGTGACTGAACCGCTTCACAAACTTCCCACGTATGTCTATTCATTCCTGAATTAATATTTAGATTTTAGGTTGGCCAACGAAATGTCGATTTCAGAAATAAAGACACTTATTACACATTAGCTTCCTTTGCATTATCAGTCTATGAACTAGAGTTTTTGAACTACCAACAATTACTAGACGCACCAGATATTTTTATCTTCCACATTACTTTTAAAAAGTATGTCTGTTATTATTTATACCAACGACTCAAAAATAATGATTTTCACACTAGACAAACCTGAGTCCCAAATCCACCAATAATTTCAGCAGGGAGTGCTTTTATTGCAATAAGAGATATCAGGCTTCGCTAATAGTTTTGAAACTTACCAACCATTTTCATGGTACACACTTGTTATTTTGTTTCTAGTCAAAGTAAACTCTGCTAACATGAATACGTCTTGTAGAGGTTATTTCACGAAAATAGGAATAGGAAAGTAAATTATAGTCATCTTGTTTGTTCCTTTTTCTTTGATCTATTAGGAATTTCCAAAAAAGAAGAATAGACAAACTGAATAGGGCAGGTGAACATAACAAACTTTACATAGCTAAGAAAATATATAACGGACAGGTTATCAACGTCGCCAATGCAAGTCAAGTCAAGTAACTTTATTTAAACTCGGTAAAAATATCAGGCATATAACTAATATAAAATTCTAAGCTATTCTTACAATATAAATATATATATAACTTCACAGAAGTTCAGGTTTCACGAGTAATCATCGTTTTATTGCTACAGAACTGTTTCGTATGATTACTCGTGAAACCTGAACTTCTGTGAAGTTATATATATATTTATAGCTGATGCTCCTCAACCAATTGAGTCGAGCGCTCTACGAAATACGTTCTACTCAGAAAACGAATTTATATATATATATATATATATATNCCAAATCCACCAATAATTTCAGCAGGGAGTGCTTTTATTGCAATAAGAGATATCAGGCTTCGCTAATAGTTTTGAAACTTACCAACCATTTTCATGGTACACACTTGTTATTTTGTTTCTAGTCAAAGTAAACTCTGCTAACATGAATACGTCTTGTAGAGGTTATTTCACGAAAATAGGAATAGGAAAGTAAATTATAGTCATCTTGTTTGTTCCTTTTTCTTTGATCTATTAGGAATTTCCAAAAAAGAAGAATAGACAAACTGAATAGGGCAGGTGAACATAACAAACTTTACATAGCTAAGAAAATATATAACGGACAGGTTATCAACGTCGCCAATGCAAGTCAAGTCAAGTAACTTTATTTAAACTCGGTAAAAATATCAGGCATATAACTAATATAAAATTCTAAGCTATTCTTACAATATAAATATATATATAACTTCACAGAAGTTCAGGTTTCACGAGTAATCATCGTTTTATTGCTACAGAACTGTTTCGTATGATTACTCGTGAAACCTGAACTTCTGTGAAGTTATATATATATTTATAGCTGATGCTCCTCAACCAATTGAGTCGAGCGCTCTACGAAATACGTTCTACTCAGAAAACGAATTTATATATATATATATATATATATTTATATATATATAACTTATGATCTAACCTATATAATAATATGATAATAAATAGGATATAAAACAGATGTACATATAATATTAAATAATGAATAAATAATAGATAGTATATCAATTAAGTTAGCCTGCTTTCCATGGATGGCGTGTGTTTATTATTTCAAGGATTCCTAGCAGCCAGATTTAAAACTGTGTATGGATTCTGCCTGCCGAAGAGTCGAAGGCAAACCGTTCCATAAGACCGCCCCGCTATAACGAACACTATTTTTAACATAATTAATTGGTGCGGGGAAGAGGGACATCAAATTTATTAGAGGAATCTCTCAAGAAATAATTCGAAACACGATTTACAAATCTATGCTGTAGATAATCAGGCGCTAAACCGTGAGTATATTTGTAAACGATGTTTACTGTGTGGAGTACGCAACTCGCCTCAATACTTCAATTTTAAGTTAACTCTTTTGCAACACTTTGTTGTAGGATGCAAGAAAACCCCACTCCACAAGTAGCTGCGGCGGAGGGGGGAACGAAAGTCTCTCCTTGAACAAAGAAGAAAGAAAAAGAAAAGAAATAATCATCGACAAGGTGCCGTATGCGGATTAGAATCCCGTCAAGTTTCCAGCTATTCTGTCAACTCACTTTTAAACACAATTACTTCAACTGAACGTACGAAAACATATTCAGTAAACGAAAACAATGTCTTAAACCGCTATGCTCATCATGCGGTTTAACATATTCAGCTTTATCTATAAAATATGAAAGCTCCTAATGACTGCTCTTGTAAGTAGTCATATAGGCTACACTAGGGACTAACCAATCAGAGCGCAGCAGAAATTTGTGTTAACCAATCAGAATCAAGCATTTAGCCCATGTGACCAAAATGACGTCACAAGCTCCCATATTTGGGCATCCAATTCACGTGACCCCATGGGGAAAAGAACACGCACACACAAGAGGTTGATCCACATTCTTCACATAGTTTTATTGACCGCGTAAAGCCTGGTAACAAGCGGGACGCATGCGCAGTTCAACCCCAGACGTTTCCCCTGGGCAGTCACGTGAATGGGATCGTAGGCACATGCGCAGACCGCCAAACGACTCCCCAGGTCCCCCGCATTCATAGGAGCACATGTCCGACTAGACCTACAGCGCATGCGCAAACACTCAAACGAAGCCCCAGACCCCTCGCATCACCGGAAGTCAATAAAAACACACTGTATGAAGGTCAACATCATCCATCCATATCATTTAATACACGCATGCCCATACAACTGACATAATCGTTCCACATGCGTGTCCACGCCTTTAGCACCGCCCGTGTAAATAGTCAGAGGCATGGTCTGTCAAAAACAATGAAACACCGTGTTTTA